CAAATTTCATTCTGTTTTGTTTTGTTTGGTATTAAACTTTTGATGCCATGCACCCTTCTTTCCATTGTGTTTGATTGAGGTGAAGTGAAATTCAGAGCAATGAATCGTGCTAATTGTCATTTCTATATATCGGGAAATTAATACGCACAGGCAACACCGACACAAAATAAGAATAAAAATATACAATATATTTATTTTAATTTAATTCAAAATGATTTACTTTAAACTTAATTTATTAATAAATAAATTTTTTGATTATGAAATTTTTAAGTAAAAAAATCATAAAAATTTATTATTTAAAATTTAATTCAAAATTCAATTACATCATTTTAATAGTTTACTCGTTTAACTATTCTCTTAATATCTAATTATTTAAGATCATAAAATTAAAATCAAAATATTTTATTTATAAAAACGAAACTCTTAATATTTTTTCTAAATTTTAATATAAGATATAAGATAAATTTTTAATTCTTATAATTTTATTTAATTTTTAATATAAAATTAAAAAATTTAAGGTAAATTTCAACTCTATATATACTATTTATAAAGGGTGATATTATGTAACATTAAACAGCTTAGTCAATTCGATAGAATCCTTGATTTTTGAATTGAAAAATCTACTGATATAAAACGTTAAACTACATGTGCTAAGAAGGAAAGAGAGAGAAAAGAAAAAAAAAATGTTTTAATCTGATTGGTCACCAGCAATGGGATGTAATTGGTTAATTTTAGGTATGCATGATTTAACAGGAGATGAAAAAGTGCTGCGGCATTAATTTCACATATACATGCATTGATTTTTCTTACATAAATGCCACAATTAATTGGAAAAGCTTTAGAAAAATGATATCAATTTTATTTATATTTAATTAAAATTTTGATTTTAATAGGGATGAATATTATATTAGAGATACGAAAATAGAGATGTATATAATTTTAAATTTTTATTAGATATAAGGATAGAGATAGATAATATAATACTCATTTGTATTTGTAACACATATATATATATATTTATATTTAGTAAATAGATTTTTAATTAAACATTATAAATTATTACTTCAGATTAATTAAAATTAATATATTTTTATTAAAAATATATATTAATATATATGTATAAAAAATATCTAAATATACAAGATAAAAATAAAAAGTTAAAAAAATAAATTTGGGTCCTTTTTTATTTTGAAAGCTATTAGTACGAGGATTATTTATATTTATCAAATAACCATAGAAATAAAAATAAAAATAAATTTAAAATACTCGTTAGATATGATTATAAGAATAACTCTAATAAATCTAAAAATGAGGATAAAAAATGTTCTATTTATATCTTATCAATTGACATTTGGTCACCAAATATTTATTTGTAAGTCAAATTTCCACAATCTATTGTAATTAAGATTTCTTAGTCGGCCAATGGGCAAGCTTACAAATTTCAAGTGGCCACACATTGTTTTCTGGTAGCCAACATTGTAGACATGCAATAATAACTAAGTTTGAATAGATTCCAAAAAAATAAATGCAAATCCCCATTGACATGGTCATGTAGCTTTTTTAGGCCATCCATATATGTATATGTATGTATGTATGCATAATATGAGAATTTGAGAGGGAGACAACACAAAAACCACTGTGAAAAGAGTTTCAGGCATGGCCATATGTATGATTGACATAAATAAAAGAAAAATGAAAAGCTGATGGGTTATTCATTTTCCTTTACTGGCAGCATGTCCCCATCTTGATTTTGATGGGTCATGCATGTACCACATCATCATCATCATCATAAATTAATCAAAACCAACCAAAAGAAAAAGTGAATGAAGGAGACATAAAAATACTTGGAGAGAAAATTACTTCATACGATCACTCATCACACAAAGGCATTATCTCTTCCTTTCTTTCGTTTTTGTTTCTTTTCTTTTATACCTAACATGAAACATTTTCTTGGGTGAAACTTTGACAAATGCGCTGATAACCTGTTGCTTGTTGCTTCACCATGCAAACTTTAATGTAACCCTGTGATCATCGACTTCTGTTGTTTGGATGAGGACTTGTCATAGAAAGGATCGAAGATTCAAGACAAATGCTTTTGCTTGCAAGTTTGGGAGACATTCCAGAGTGTTCCATAGGAAAAGGAAACAAACAGTAACGGCAGTGAAAGCAGCAACCAGTTCTCGAAATTCCAACTATATATCAAAGGAGTTAGAAACAAACTACTACATTGATTTTGTTTAATGTTAAATTTGAACTAAATTGATGAAATATGTCAATTTATTTGAGAAGAAAAGAGAGATTCTCTCTTTGTCAACAGGACTTACAACAGTACTTGAAAATTGCGATGATATATGATGATCAATTGGCAAAAATGTGATGGTCCGTCCAGCAAATTTGGAAAGAAATTGAAATTTTTTAGAGGTAACCAATATTTTTAAGAATTGAATCATCATTATCAGCTTGATGTATATGAAAGAAAAAGAGATTTTATAATCACATGCTTTGCTTTGCTTTCTTTTAATTGCAATGAAAGTTGATCACTAGAAAGCTGTGTTAAAAAAGAGATGAAGCAATTCAGCTGGTTCTAGAGCTGAGAATTTGCTTTCACTTTTTGCAGATGGGACTTGGAAAGCTGAAGAAATTAAGATCGAATTTTGTTTTTAGCAGCATTTAGAAAAGTTGAGCCACTCATGCAAGAAATAAGGCATGTGGGTCAGTGTGAAAAACAGGTGGAACACTAGAACCACATGGATTGTCTGCATCTACAACAGTGGAAAATTATAAATTAAATTTTAAAAAACCAAAAAGATCAACTGTTTAATTTCTCAGTCATACAGAGGATGCTGATCATTGAGAACTAGCTACATGATTGCTCCAGTAAGTTTGATTTTCGATCAAATTTCTCACCCAATCAGGATCTTTTAAACAGGATTATGATAATTGGATGAATGTAAATCAATGATCAGAAAATAAGTGCCTGGAAAATAATTGCCAGACTCTCACCCTGGTTTAAAGGGCCCATAAATCTCTATCTGATTAGAGATGAATTTGGGTGCTTTAATCAAATCACTTTTTAGTCATTTTGATGCTCATTTTGTTTGTGACTTAATTGCTTGCTTAATCAAATCATAATGCAATCATTAGTGCAATAATAAGAACATGCAATCCACTGAACTTGCTAAGTTTACATATAATGGAAAGAATATTAAAGTTAGCCAAGTGGCAAGTTCCCAAGACTTCTCAGTTCTCACCAGAAAAATAAAAATCCAATTTTTTTTTTCAATAGTTTGAGAGAAAAGCAAAAAGGAAGATTTGACATCATGAAAAAAAAAACTATAAGTATTTAAAAAAAATTTTTTTTTTGGAAAGAATCCAAGCTTCAAAAAGTAATGCTTTGTGTATTGGGGTATATTTATTCTAGTAACAATCAGAAATCATGATCACCAATTTTCCTAATTCCATGACCATTATAGTTTGACTGCCTACCTTTTTTGCTTCTTAATATTCATTGTTTCCTCAACCATAAAAAAATAAAATAAAATTCCTATGATCATCTAAATTCCCCCACAATATTCTCTTCCCCATCATCAACTAAAACCAAATATTCCAATACAAACAAACTGCAAGCCTGAAAATCTGACACTCCATCCAATGGAATCAAAGCAAGTTAACGAAAAATCACCAACACCCAAGATGTGATTAAGCCAGTTATTTCTTCAAATAATAATAATAGTAATAATAATAAAAGATTTGTGTAGATCATCATTCTGATTTGTAGCCATCACTCAAAGAAAAGAATTTCCAGTGCTTTCGACAGCAAATATATAAGTTAATGTTATGTGCAAGATCCTGTTGATCCTAACTGGACATGATATGGCTGTGTTTGGACATTACAAGTGAAAGATGCCTAACGTTTTTTACATGGTATAAATCATACTATACATATTGTTATGGAATTTTCTTTCAGAAATCTGATGAGTGATTTGGAAAGAAAGAACAATTATTAACTGGCACTGTTTGGGATGTTCAACTTGCAAGAGAAAAAAACGAGCAAGTGGCTAAGACTTGGATCAGATTTGCATGGGGAAAAAGAAGCCTCTGCATAGAGAGATGCTTCGTCTAAAACAGTTACAAAAGGTGGGTAACGGGGGAAATCATCTCATAAATAAATCTCAGCCCCCGTTAATGCTAAAATACAAGAAGATTCCACCTTGAATTTGAGCCAACAATTGTAGAACTGGTCACATCAACCATAGCAGCAGAACCTAGCTTTACAACTTGCCTGTCCAATTCAATAAGCATATATGTAATCTATGTTTGATCGTTTTCACCTTTATCTTGAGATCAAATTTTATTTTTTTATTTGAAATTATCTGATTATTCAAATTTATTAAGGGAGGAAATAGGGCAGCAGTAAAAATAACTGTAATAACAGGAAACTGTAACAACAGGAAACATATATTACTATTTTTACTACATAAAAAATTAGGGGTTCTTTTTTTTAAGCTAAACATCGTAGGGTCTAGGAATTTGTGCATGAGAGACATAGGGGGAGTCAAAATGGACAGGAACAAGGGATTTACATAAAGATGTGGTCTTATTTGGTCGGATATATCTGTCCTTTGTGTTCTTCCTCCATCGATGTTGCTGCCCTTTATTCATGTTCAGATGCTGCTTGTATTGGTTGAACTTGGAACTAGAGCTTTAATTCAAGGAGAAGCCCCCACCCCCCTCCACTTGAGCTGATACTGGAAAAAGAGAAGCCTTGTTTTGATTCTTCTTTTCCTGGTGATTCCCTTTTTTTCTCATTGCAAGCTAATGGGAAAGATATATAAATCCACAAGAAGAGCAAAAGTCAGGAAACATCATACAATTTTACATAAAACAAATGTAAATGTAGCAAATTTCTAGTTGATAAAACATGTAAATTTTTTTTAATATTTTATTGGATGAAAGACAGGACACGAGGGCTTACTACCAGATGTTTGTAGGGCAGCCATCTGCATTAATATTAATGAAAAGAACACAAGCTGTCGTTGAGCCCAGACGAACTGAGAAATTTTTGTCTTGGTTCCTCGTCCACATCCCATAATAAACTACCATTATCCTGAAAAAGATGTGTTGTCAAACAGTTTGAATATTTATGTTTTTATTTATGTTTTCTTATGTCATGTAGTATTTTTTTTTCTTTTCTAACCGTGTAATAGTTGATAGAGTGTTGGATTTTTTATTTTAATAATCAAAATTCAATCCTGACAATTTCAAAAATATATTAAAAAAAAAGTATATATAATGTATATATACCTGAGGCTGAGAGAAGACATTGGGCCTTTGCCCCTGGTGAAGTAAAAGTGCAGCTGAAGCATCCAGAAGAGGATAGTTATTATTATCTGGGGCAAAGTTGGTGGTTGTTGTATCAAGAAAAGCTGTAGGTTGACTGGGGTTGCATTGTTGCAGAGATGGCAGTGGTGATGCTATACTGTTCAGTCTCTAAAATAATTGTGGAAGACAAAGATTTCATCAGCTTTTTTAATGCTTAATGGCTATAATCAAGACATGTAAACAACCTTAAACTATGTTTCTTTTTTATCCCATGGTTTCTTACCTCTGGTCTGACCATCAATGCTTCCAGATCCACTCCAAAGTCATAGAAAATGGGATTCACAGAAGCAAGCTTCATTGACAGAAACTAAAAACAAGACAAAAAAAAAAGGAAATTATTGCTGATTTGATCATACACTAACCAGTTGGATAATTAGAAATGTAAACAGTAGTTTGATTGTACCTCTACTTGATTTTGTAGGGACTGAACATAATTGATAATTTCATCCAACATAAGGGCCTTTCCAGTTACCTATGTTCATGCATAACCACATGAAAGCTGTCAGAAATGTACTTTGACTATCACCCAAATGGAGTGAAGGAATCGCATTATTTTTTCCTGTGAAAGACAAAGTCAAGACAAATGAACTGAACTGCACACCTTGTCACAACCTGGAACAAGACATTGCAATATCTTCATCCTTTCACTGATTTTCTCTCTTCTTATCTGCAAATCCATTTGGAGAAATAACCAATAAGAAATAAAATAATCCATTTAAAGCCGAACCCGGTGCTTAGTCCCATGGTTCAACCACACCCTTTAGGCCATGGGATTTGACCCAGGAGGGGGCTTGGGGTTGGTTGAGCCCATGGCTCCTGAAAAAGAGAAAGAGTGGTGTATATGTAAATGTACCCTTTCTGCTAGACTATGGCTGTCCGTTGCTTGACCCCTCCTGGCTCTTACATGAATGTAGCCTGTTGGGGGCTCTTCAGGAGATTTCTTTTGATCTTTCTTTTCACTTTTAAGGGCATCATTACACTTCTTTTGCTTCTTACTTTTCCCTTCCTTTGCATCCTGATGGAAATAAAAGAAAGAAAATTGGAAACATATTCGGATAAATTGAAAAAAACAATTAAGAAACCCATCCTTGAAAAAGCTGAAGAATTTTGAGTAAATCAAAACCAACATGCACATACAATTCGTATGTTGTTGAATACACATGGATCTAAAGCTGTTTACCTTAGACCGAGCAGAATTCAAGGCAGTCCCATTTCTGGTCCTCCTTTTCCTGTCTGTGAGAGTCACATTCCGAGTGACTTGCTCACCACTTTCAAGCTTATCCACCACAGTCGAGTCATCAGTGCTCTGTTTTTTAGTCACCGAAGGCTCATTATCACTATGAGCAACCTTTGAGCTGTGATCAAGAGGGGACTCCTGGACAGGCTCAGGTAGGTAAAATTGAGAGAAACAATTGGAGTTGATGTTTCCTTCCTCCATAAAGCCAGAAACTCTGGTGGGAGCGTTTGGCAAGAAAATGGAGTCAAGAAGCAGAGGGTGAGGTTGGTATGAAAAGGCTGCCATATGGGAAAGCGGTTTTGGAATTGAAAAAGAGAAAAATGCAAGTTTTCAAGAAAGAGAGACAGAGGGTCAGATAGAGAAAGCTGATGAAACTTTAAGGCAGCCAGAAGTAGCAGTCGAGAAAAGTGTTTATGACAAACAGAGGTGCCAAGGTTTATATAAAACATCAGGAGAGAGAAGTGAAGAAAGGCTCATTAAAATTCAAGATGACTCATTCCCATGCATTGTCTCTGTATATTTTACTGGTCTTGACTCTCTCAACGCCTCTATTAAATAATAAATGATAGGTTGGCACTCATTAATTACTTAAATTTAATTTAAATAAAATTTAAATTTGATTCAATTATTATTGAATCAAATTCGAGTAATTTATTTTATTGATCGAATTAAATTTAAATATTTTTATATCTGATTCAAGTAACTCATGAGTTTAATCAAATTTTTATATTTTAATTATTTTAATTAATAAATATTTTAAATTATTACTTCAGCTCGAGCACAAATAATCAAATTTTTATTGAATATAAGAATCGAATTTATTTTTTCATATTAATCAAATATAATTAAATGAGCTCGAATAATTTGATTTTTATTTCAAGTCAAATTCGATATAAAAAAATAAAATTCGATCTAATTCGATGAGTTTGAAATCTCAAATTTCGAATTAAACTCGAATTTAAATTTAATACTGTATCGATTTAAATTCGATCGATTAGACTTTTATCTCTAACATTCATTCATAAATATTTATAAATATGATAATTAATATATTCATATATTTATATCATATAAGTTATTAAATTTATATATATATCATATTTTATATAAAAATTATATATAATAATTTTTATCGATAAAAAAAATATAAAATTATTTTTTATTTTATTAAATCTATATATAATTATTATTAAAACTTTAAATTTATTTTTTTTATATTTTTTTATCATATTTATATCTTATTATCATATCATATTTTAAATTACAAAATCAAGGTAAAACTTAACAAAAAAACTCAAGAAAATAAAAATGTCAGTGATTTTTATTTCACACATACTATGCCTATACTTTCTGCTGTATAATGATAGTCCATGACAGCACACTCTTTTCCAGAGAAATTATATATTTATGCTACTGAGAAATCAACATTGTGACGCTTACTTTTCAGTCTGATAAAAAAAAAAAAAAAAAGGTGGTTTGAAATTTTTTTTTTAATTAAGAAATAATATCTTAAAGATAAATAAAGAAGTTATGTATTTGATTTGACCTTTAAATTTATTAAATATTATTTTTTAAAAATATTACATAAATTAAATTTCAGATTTAAGATTAAAAAAATGGTTTTTAAAGAAGTGTTTATTATTTTTATGTAAATTTTTATGTAAAATATTAAAAATAGATTAGACGATCTTTATATTTATATTTTATAAAATATTAAAATTTATATATTTATATAATATTTTATAATTTATATCGATATAAAAATATTTTTTTATTTTATTAAATTTATATATAATTATTATTAAAATTTTTATATCGTATAAACGTCATGTCCAAAAAAAAGTCGGTGGATAAAAGAAGAGGCATTGTCAGTGGAAAAGAACAGAACTGGATGGAATTGAACAAAGCAAGGGGTCCAAATCATCAGCCTGAGTCAGTTTGCTCTTTAACACTTTAAAGCAAGCCCAAAATGTATCAGTCCTGAAGGCCAAGAATTGATCTTCGGCCCATCTTTGCAAATATATATATATATATTTTTGGCAAAATGATTTAAAAAATTTTCAAATAAAAATTTAATAATTAATTAATATTTTATATTTTATTATAATTAATTAAGTTTTATATTTTTATTTCATATCAATTGAATCTTTAAATATCTATTTTCACCTAATTGAACATTTATACATCTCTTTTCATTCGATTAAATTCTCGACTGGACAAAAAAAATTAATTATTTTTTTCTAATAAGTGCTTAATTGATGAAAATATATATTTGAAAGTTTATTGAATGATATTGAATTTTAGTTCAATGACTTTTTTGAAATTGGGAATATTGTATAAAATAGTTTAACTTTTGACATTTTTGAAACAAATTAAATAATAAAATTACACTCATAAAGATAAATGGTAAATTTTGTCTATATATATATATATATCAATAAATTTTAGTCTTAACCATTTTTTATAACAATTTGTTTTTCCATTTATTGGGTTTAAAATTGACATTGTAGAAAGCAAGTATATCATAAAGCATGTAAGTAGTGACTAAATGTATTTTAAAAGTAATGGAAAAAAGCTAAACTAATTAGGATAATTAATATTTTTCAAAGAAATTACAATTGTAGGTGAGAAAAAAGGGGACAAAAAAAAAAAACTAATCTGTCAACACCAAATGATCATATCAAATAAATAAACTTGATGATTCGTGTATTCATGTCGTGTAAAATATTAAAATTTATATATTTATGTCATATTTTGCATAAAAATTATATGTCACAATTCATGTTAATACAAAAAAATAAAATATATATATTTTTAATTTTATTAAACTTTTTATATAATTATTATTAAAATTTTAAATATGTTATTATATATATATTATTCATATCATGTGTTTTAAATTATTAGGCAAAAAAATAACCCTAAATTATTTGTTGATTCTAATACGAGGGAACAAAAAGGAAAAGGAGGCTAGCTGCAATTTGGCATGCACCAGTTGTCATGATATTGACAATGATAAAGGAAGAAAGAAAGAAAGAAAAAAAACTATGGATAAGTACCATTTTTTATGACCCAATTGTACAATTTACATTCATCGATACCTAGCTAGATCAAACACGAAAAGCACCTGGTAAGCTGGAAAGAAGACAAATGGCCAAAGCAGTGAAAAATATAGTATGAAATTACGTGTAATAATTAAATTATAAATATTTATTTTAAAAGATTTATGTACATATAACATGATTTGAATTAAAAGAATATATAATGATATAGAATAATTATTTTATACAAATAAAGATTGAATATTAATAATTAAATTAAAATTTTGATCATGTATGTTGGCTAAAATTTATTTAATAATTTTGCTAAAAAGAAATTTCAATGGTAATTAATGTCAAACAAACATTTAATAATAAATAGTTTAACATATAATATAAAAAACTAATCTTTCAATGGAAGTGATTATGTAATTATCACCTTAAAAGTAGTACTTGACTGCATCATAGGCAGATATCTCTGTCGATCAAAACCCCATTTTGACTTATAAGAAGGAGAAGCTGTTAAATGTTTCTGTGACGAACTGCAAAGCAGCTTAACAAGGATCTGTCATTTCAGGGTAAAAATAGAAGCAGTACCATTGCAGTCGAGCTATCACCTCAAATTCAGGTCCTAATGCTGACAAAATTGAAGCTTTGGAGTGGTAATTTTCGTGATCAAAACTGTACAAACATTACCAATTTAAGCAAGCAGTAGGGCTTCATTTTTGGTGATATTGGTATTTCAACAATCTGATATATGACCTAGCCAGCTGCTAGCCATTGTGATGATAGATGGAAGACATTTACAAGTTACAATCACCCAATAATTGCACAAGTTCGTACGATAATAGTCAACATGATAATGGCCGGTATGAATGATCTTTAATGCTTGTAAGTAGAGAATGCCGCCCCATCCATGAATCCTCGCCATCCAGTGATTTCTCTCTGCTGGCTTGGATGTATATTTTGTGCCTGGTTACAGTTGTACGAGTGAATCACTTTCTCTGTGTCCACGCGAAGGAAAGATAAAAGGTGAAACTTGAAAGAGAAAGCATGCAGCAGAAAAGTTTCATCATAGAATAATATAATTGAAATGCGGCGTAAACCTTAGCTAAGCAGTCTCGCATGGAGAGCCTGGACTGGACTCTGGAGAAACAGTTATTTGTTTGGCATATAGGAATCATTTCAGTTTTCAGGGCTTTTCAGCTTTCAGAAAATTTCTCTCCTGTGGTTGAAAAGTACTACCGACTAGGTTCTAGAGACTTAGCAATGGTTTTATCCCTATAACTAGGGATGTAAATGAATCATGCATAGGGATGGGAATTTAACCTGACCTCGGCGGGGTTCGGCCCGACCCGATCTTATGAGGTCGGATTTTTTTTTTTTTGAATTTCGGGTTTTGGGTCGGGTCGGGTAATGTTAGGAAATAGTCGGGGTCGGGTTTTAGGCATACCCGACCCTACCCGACCCGATATTATTTAAAAAATTATTTTTTAATTAATTTTTTAATTATTTATTTATATATATTTATATAATAATATTTTTAAATATTTATATTTTAAAAATAATATTTTTATTAATTTCGGGTCGGATCGGATCGGATACGGATTATATAATATCGGGTTCGGGTCGGGGTCGGGTATGAAAAAATAAAAAAATTTCGGGTCGAGGGTCGGGTTTATTGATGATAAAGTCGGGTCGGGTTCGGGGCGAGCAAAACCCGCCCGAACCCGACCCGATGCCAACCCTAATCATGCATGAATTTTGCTATGCTCATATTTATTTTTTAAATTAATAAATTTTAAAATATTATTTACGATCATTTGTTAAATTTAATAAATAAATAGAATATGAACTTATTCACAAATTTTTTTTAAAATATTTTATTCATTTATGCTCTTACATAAAATCATCATATATAATATATATTCCTATGACCTATCTAAAGCCGAAACAATTAAAAGGAAAAAGGAAAATCAACTTTCCTTCAAATTAACTGACGAAATTGCAACCTTCCAATCAAACCCTATTGCAATATTGCACCAAATATCTTTTAGTTTAATTTCTTAATTATAATAGTTAGTAGGGAAGCATTATATAAGCTCTTCCCATGCATGATTTTAAAATTGCTACGAACTATTTAGGAGCTCAATTGAGCACCAAAACTTAGTTAGTCGACAGCCATGATCGACCAAATCCAAATTCATGTTCCATTATTAATATGTAAGCCTGTCTGCTTGTTAAAGTGCATAACATTTCTTGAAACATGTATCTATGACAAAGCTAGCTTTGAATTTCTTGAGCAGGGAAGACAAGGTGATGTGGGTTCATTCATGCATAAAAAACCATGGAAAGGAGCGCTTGGGAGGGCCTCATGCTGCATTAACTGAACATCTACTGAGATTTGAGAGCGACGAATCGGCTACGCGTGCATGATGGTGGTGTTGTCCTTTTTGAACGCCTTAATTTGCGGGGCTATAAAGGTTTTGTTTTTTATAACCCTTTTAGCTTACCTACTGGCTCTAGGAAGTTGGTATATATGTAAATGAAGTGCTCATCTTTTAACACAAGAACTATTGGGAGTGGCTCTATCACGTACAGTGAACTATTTAAAGAGAAGGATGGACAGCAGGGCAATATAATTTAAAATATGATTAAGTAATATAAGATGAATATAATATAAAACAAATATGAAAATAATATAATTTATAATTTTAATAAAAATTATGTATAAGTTTAATAAAACAAAAAAAAATTATTTTATATTTTTATTCACATGAATCGTGATACTTAATTTTTATATAAAATAAAATATGAAAACATAAATTTTAATATTTTACATAATATAAATATATAAATTACTATATCTAAATGTAAGCCGAGACCAAATTTTATTGAATAATGTTAGGCTCAATCAATCGAGTCCATGAGACCCACAAGGAAAACATTGAAATTTATTTAAATTTTTTTTTTGAAATATTTACTTTAATATATATAAAAATTTATTAATGAATTTAACAAATTTGTCTCCGAAGTTATTAATTTTGCGGATAAAAAAGTGTATGAAAAAATTTTGGATGTCTGATAAAAATTTTCCTTTAAATTTTTTTATTTTTTTAATTTTTGAAGGTGTTCATAAAAAATTTAAAAAATGTTCAATAAAAAAATTTTCCTTTAAATTTTTTTTATTTTTCAATTTTTTATAAGCTAGCTCCACTATAATCTCACACATTATACCTGATTGACTATATATCACACTTGAATCACACTTGTCAGGTTGAAGGTAAAAGTATAAAAGGCAACGGGTAAAATTTTGGGGAAGATCTCATCCAGCCTGTTTTATCTTTGGATAAAACCTACATGAAGTAAAATTTATAAAAAAATTTTAAAAAATAAATAAATAAAAAATTTAAATTAACAAATTGATAGAGTTCGATATAAAAATTCATAATATATAAAAAATTCTAAAATAATTTTTATAATTTAAATTTGATTGATAATTATTTAATAATAAAATTTTTATCAATATTTTTATTAAAAATATTTATTTAATAAATATATCAAAATTATTAAAATATTTTTTTAATTTTATACATTTAATTTATTGGACAAAATATTTTAATTTTTATTTACTCAATTTTTACAAAAAATTTCACAAACTTTAACTATAAAATTTTATCCTCTATCTTGACTGTATTCATGCCTCTTTTTTCATGCACATACAATATTAAATGTTAGAACACAATCCTTCCTTCGATGCCTCCGACATTTTCCTTCTCCTTAACAGATCTAACAAGGGTCACTCTGCTCCCAACGAGTACAGAGTTAAATCAACACTTCCATAGTCAAATTGTCTTAAAATTTCAAGTTTCGTTGACTTGAAATTGTGTGCATTTTGTTAAACAGCCAGCTGGCAAGTTTGACATGACTGATGGAAGAATCTGCATTGATGAGCTTCAAACTCTGCCCAATTAGAATGTGGGCTTAGATTTAACTGCTCATGGGTAGGATAATTCGTTGGAATACGAAAATTTATTTGAAATTTTGAAATGTTTAGATATAAATATTAAATTTGTTAAATCAATTTAGATAAATAAATAAAATTTGATCAAAAAATAAAATTAGAATTAGATTTTATCATTTAAGATTTGAGTTCGATCCAATTCAAAAATTTTTAAAATTTTTTTTATTATAATAGATAAGACCCATTTATTTTATTTTTATAATAGATAAAACCTATTTATTTTATAATTTGTAATATGATAAAGTCTATTTTTTATATAAAATAATAATTTAATTTTAAATTACATTTAATAAAATTAAATTAAAATCAAACTCAAATAATTAATAAATTTAATTGAAATTATTTAAATTAATTAAATTAATAATTTACAATTTTTTTAATTTTAAATATCGATGTTTTGAACAAATTATATTTTATTATACCATATAAGAATGAGTTTAAATAAAAAATAAGACCTGAAAAATCAAATTAAGTTGGGCTTAGAGTTACTTGAAATGTTGGAATATTATGTTTCCAAATGTAACCCGGCTCGGCCCTTAAGCAGGTCTAGGGTGAGGCCTGTTCACGTGACTGAGGCAGAGTTCATGGCCATAAGATCCACTGGTTAGAACTTAGACCTCTGGATCTCCTCTTATTTGTTAAACCCTTTCAATTTCAGTTTACCGTTGGCTAGGGTTTAAGCCTATCATTATCATCATCATCATCATCCTCACATGGTGAACCAGGGTCATCCACTAACCATCCATGGCGGTTTCGGGATTAGGCTTGTTCTCTCTTTGTTTTTTGATCATCGGTTCAATGAGATCGTGTGTCGATTTCATCTCAGGTCAGGGGAGATAAACAGCTGTGAAAACATAAATTGACGAAAAAAGAAAGACTAGAAATGATTAAGAATTCAAGAAACAATATAATATAATCGTTGAGAAGAATACAGTATTCAGAAATTCAATTTGTTCAAAAGAAAACAATACAGAGACCACTAGTGACTAATGCTAATTCTGTGGACATCAACCTGTTATTATTGCTTTCTCAATATGGGGAATCCTGTTGTTTAATTCCTAAATTGAACTAAAAATAATTGCATCCTGTTTGCAATGCAAAACAACAATTTTTCATGCCTTTGCAGCAGCTGGAGTAGGAGAACCACCACCGGTAGTTGGCCTGCAGAAAGCGATCAGATGTAGGTCAATTGATTGATTCGAGAAACACCAATGAATAAATGAACGAATCAATTTCTAGGAGAAACCATCAATATAAGTAAATGTTGGAGGCAGAAAACTTACAGCCCAACAAACACTTTAAATCCATCATAGATTACCCATTGTGCTCCAGTAAGGGTTCCAATCATGACAATACGAAGGGGGAGGCCACGGGTCAAAAGACCCCATAATCCTAGCTTCTTCACCGCCTGCGACAGAGAAAAACAGAAAGCAATTACAAAAAAAAAAAAAAAAAAAGCAGGTGAGCATGTGAAAAGTGAAAGAGAAACTACGCATATCCATGCAATTCAAAAAAATAAGGTTTTTACTGACGTCACCAACAGTTGATCCCTTGGCATTGTTGAGAAAAGACACCAGGTTGTCAGCGGGATGTGACACAACAGCACAGAAAACACCAGCTATGTACCCACCAGCAAAGCTCACCCCAAGTTGCAATGGTTTACTGCACTGGTCTTTCGGGGTGGGGATGGAATACTTGTAGATTAACTCAACAGTATTTTCATAAGTTGCAAATTTCATCATTGTATCTGCAAAATATCATTTCAGTTCATCAGTACAAAATTAAAGCTTCTCGTAACTTTTGGAATCATATAGAGGAGATTAACAGAACTCACAAACACCACAAAAATGAAACGCAACAACGAGCAGCCAATGTTATGTTCCTTTTTCAAGTGCTCAATTCACCCAAGAACCAATCTCTAAATATAAGTAATATTACAACAGAGATAGTTGAAAGCCCATTTTAATGTTTGAGCCATGATGGGATTGTCATAAAGGTACTTGTCAAGATAGGGAATGTAGTTAAACAACAAAATAATTGCTATCTACTTGCATACGATTGCAAAAAGCCCTAAAGCTAAGCAGCTTCTGATGCCATTAAAGAAAGCTGTAAGCAGGCGTGAACATGGTGAAATAAGGTATAAATTGCTAAAAGAACAATCCATTAATATATTCAGAGTTAAACACAAAAAATTGACAAAAGCAAATCAAAAGGAAATTCAAACTTCATGGCAAACAAACAAATCAGTAACAAAAGATCATCGCAAAGTGTATTTGAAACATGAAATGCAGGAAATGTTTGGCTTACATGGAATTTGTCGTCCCCAGAGAGGACCGATTCCTTTGTACAACCTACAAACATGTAAGATCATAGAATCAACATTTCAAACAAACAATAAATCCACTAAAAAAAACAAAGGTTTTTTGTACAGATATCATACCCGCCAAAACCTTCAGCCTTCACAAATTTTGGAAGCCCGTCTGATAAACCTCGTGCAAATCCAGGCTGAGTTTGCACACGAACTTTGACTGCCTCCATGGGGCAGAGAGCAACATCAGCAATCACTTCAGCAGATGCTGAACCAGCAAGATAAATCAGGGTCTTATACTTTGTGGCATATTCAGGCCCAGCAATGTCGGAATAGTACTTCTTGAAGAATTCATAGAAACCATATTTACAAGCACCCTGAGCACTGTAACCAAGCAGGGTAGGTGCCCAACCCTTGAATAAACCTTTAGCACCTTGCTCCTTTAGCAAAAGTGCAAATCCAGATGAGGTGCTCTTGTATTTTAGTGGGTCAATCTGAGTTTCCAACAACATTCATTCATACATTAGAAATTTGACATTCCCTTTTGTACAATATAAGAGAAAACAAAAGGTAGTTTGTTTAAAAACAATCAAAATAACAATGTCATTGTCAGAGGATTGAGAAAGGAATTTACAGGTTTTATTTACATATTTGGTGACAAATGTTGAAAATAGATGCATTTTTGCATTGACCACAAGATTTGAACTATTGGCAGCCGCCAAGGAAAAAAAGACAGGTCTTACACGCCATTGGAAACATCGAAGGGACAATTAACCATTTGTTGATTTAAAAATTAATTTAACGAAAACAAAAACGTTTCAAAGTCCATTTGATGGTAAAATACTAAGATTTAGATGAATAATGTTGTTCCGAACCTTGAGGAGTCAACAACTAAATAAAATACCCTAAAATCCTTAACTCTAGAATCCCAAGAAAATTTGAACATTGCTTCCTGTTGAAAAGTCAATACAACAATAATGAAACAGTAAAAAGCTAGATCAAGGCACCATCCAGTAAATCTCAGATACAAAGGCCAAATCAAACAAGCACATTTACATGAAAAAGGAGAATTAATGACATGGGTTTGAAGTTTTTTTAATGGTAAGGGTTTTTGGATTTTGTTCGATATATTTTTTATCTGTCAAATAAATTTATTAATGTTGAATCTAATGAATTAGTAAAAAATTATATTTTCATAATCTTTCAATGGATTCAAATTCAGATAATCAGAAGAAAAACAAACTCGCTTTAACACTTGAATTAATCTCCTTGGATGGTTTTAAGTTTTAATTTATCATTTCTTCGGATAATCAAATCCAGAATTGAAACAATCATCTTGAATTCTGTTATACAAAATGAATTATTGGAATACTCAGAGACTAAGTAAAGGCTCATATATATGAAGGAATCAAATGGAAACGAATCCACATTAAGCAAAAAAAAAAAAGAGAAGAAAATACAACATCTTAAAATGATTGGATATTGAACGAAGAAAAAAATACCTGTATATTGCACTTGATAACATCGAGAGGCGTGACGGCGGTGTGAGTAAGGCCGCAGCACAATAAACCACCGACCGTACACGCGGCGTAAAAAGCCGGCGAGTACATCTCGATCCCTTCCTTGGGCGAGGGTATCACAATCCTACTCGCACTGACCCCTGCATCACCAATCACGTTCGATGATGATGATGAAACGGACAATGATCGAGGCAGCACATGATGATCATCAACGGCCTTCGTCAAAGACGTGTCCAAACCAAAGAGTCGCTCGGTTGAGGAAGGAGTGGAATAGAGGAAGCTGGGAAGGAGAGACTGACGAGTGCTATCAGAGATTGCCATTGTTACATTTTGTGGTTCGTCTGCTCGCGCTCTTTTTTATTCACTTTTGCCGCAGGACTTTGACTTTTCCACGAATTCGACCGTTGCTTATTTTCAAATTTTTTTATAAAACTAAAATAAAATTTTGAGCAACCACAGAGTTTAAATTGAAATTTCATTTATTAATAAAAATCAAATTTATTAAATTAAAATATTTAAAATAAACTTTATTTATTTATAATTAATTTTATGATAATTTTCAGGAGATTAAATTTTATTCATTGGTTTTTAAAGGTATTGATATTTTATTAAAAATTTACAAAAGAATATGGCATCTTTTTATATAAATTAATAAAGTAGGTAAGCACATACGTAAACTATCTTAAAGATGAAGAGGTAAGCATGGACGTAATGGACAGGCATTGCAAGTTCAGGCACGCAAGACAGTCGTAAAAGAAAAGTTCTTCATAATAATTTTGGATTGAAAGTTTTTTTATCGTATTAAAAAATAAAAATAAAAATAATTTAAATTGAATCGGTTTTAATTTAATTATTTTTAAATAATATATAATTTTTTAAAATTTAATTTGAATATAAATTTAAATTTTTATAAGATTCGAAACGAATTAAATTTTATTAATTTAATAAAAATTCAATTTGGTTCGGTTTAACGATTTTTTAAATTTAAATTTTTTTATATTATTTTAATGTAATTGTAATATATTTAAAATGTTTTAAAATAAAATAATTATTTTTATTTTATAATAATTTAAAATATACATAAAGTTTATAAAAATATATAATTTAATTTATTTTTATTTTTTATTTTTGATTTGATATTAATACAAACTTAATATGTACATTTAATATCTGAATTTAATTTAAATTAAATAAAAAAATTGATTCAAATTAAATGGAATATTATCATTTTAAATTAATTTTTAGTTTTTAAAATTTTTTTCCCCAATTAAAAAGTGTAATTTATAACCATACCTTTAATCCATTTAAACTCTCAAATAGAATTTTTAAAATTAATTTTTAAATTTTTAAATTTTAACATTTATAATTTTTTATTCCCAAATTACAAATCTCTAATAAAAAAAAAACACATATGCGAGAAGCATGACTCTTCCGATTGTCGGCTCAGTCCATCCTTTTTGAATCCGCCCTTTTGACAAACTTGGTCCGAAGCCTTATAAATAATGGGTCCCTTGACCCTGACTTTTCCAGCATTCCACAAGCTAGAAGAGCCTGGAAGACTGGAAAGCTACCTATAATTTCAACTTCCAAAATATTATAATAATTGGCTAAGTTTATATGACTAAAAAACAGTTAAAATCATAAAACAAGAAAAATACTATCAAATTGTTAAGACGAATCAAAACGTTTTTAACATGTTTTTTTTAACCGGAATTTCACCATATGCCATATTTAAACTAAACTCAAGTAATAAGGTTCAATTCGGTAAATTTTTTTATAATTTACTTTTTGCTTTTCTCATTAACAAGTTAAAAGTAAAAATTAAAATATTAACAAAAATGTTGCAAAAAATAATTAAAATATAAGAATGACAACGAATAGAATTGAATGTGATTGATTTTTTTTATAATATATAAAATATTAATTTTTTAAATTTAAAATTTTTGTATTATTTTAATAAAATAGAATAGAATTTTATTAGTTTAATTTGATTTATTGATTTTTGTAATTTTTTATTTTTATATAATTTTTAATATATTTAAATAAATTTAAGTATAAAATAATTATTTTTATTTTATAAAAATTTTAAAAAATATAAATTAATAAAAATATATAATTTGATTTGATTTATTTTTTATTTTTTATTTATAATTTAAAATTCAATATATATTTAATATTTAAATTAAATAAAAAATTTATTCAAACCAAATAATATAATTTTCAATTTTGTTTTCTCACCTAAGGTATTCTTCGCCACGGCTTGGTTAGGATATGCTTTGTGGGCCAGAAAATTTTCGTACGTAAGAAGGCCAATAAAGTGGAAACAACGCCCTGCTGTTGACTCATGCGCCTACGGTGTCCGTCTTCCCGGTGTTACCATAAACATCGCCAGCCAAAAAGGATAATCGCCGTTGCCGGGGATCGAACCCGGGTCACCCGCGTGACAGGCGGGAATACTCACCACTATACTACAACGACAGGGTGACCGTATCCTCCAACTTTATCACCTCGACCAATTACTAACCCTACCTGCCTAATATGCGTCGTCGTTTTGGTTTGAATTCATTTGTGTAACCAATATAATGTTACCATTAAGTTGTGATTTAAGGCCAAAATAGACAATAATAATACCAATAACAATATATGACCTGATTTGTGGGTGAATTATGAAAATGTTTACTTAAGAATTAAAGCTCATTGGTAATTCTCTTTCGAAAAAGTTAATTTACGCATGTACATATTTTTAATTATTGATATAATAAATTTAGACCGTCCAACTAAAAAAAAATTATAATTAAAATTTATTTTCTCCGAACTTCAAGATGGGTCGTTGAATTGTTCTAAATGTGATATTGTAGTTAAAATGAAACGGTAAATTTCACAAAATTTAAGCTAATTAATTAGTAACTGTCAATGATTTTGGGTACTTGGTTTGAAGGCTTCACAAACACAAAAAATGCACTCATGAATATCAAGAGGCTATCTTTTATCTTATCTCAATTATGGATGTAATCACAAATTATAATACTATGACACTACTTTAGTGTAATTTTAATTTTGACCAACCAATAATTAGTGTGCATTATATATGCAGTTATGTATATACATGCATTGCCCAAAAAAAATGTATGCTGTCCTTGCTGAAGAAAGATGTGAGGAAGCAGAAGCAAGAGCGAGGGAGCTTGAGAAACAGGTTGGTTCGTCAATTTTTTTGGCGGCAAGATCTTCTCTCCCTGCTTGGTAAATCCCTTCAATAGGCATATACTTGAAGAAGCATATTCAGGTAGCCATGTTAAATATTTTTGTAAACTTGGTGAACAAGTTTAACATTGTTATTCAGCATTGAGTTATAATACATTTTTCCACTCCTTAGATTGGCATTGACAGAAGTTCGATTAATTTATCATTTTGCAAATTTTCGTGTGACTTTATGTAGAGGTACTGATTGTACTAAAATTTGTATTCCATGTTTCACATATCTACATGCTGCTGGTTATTTCATGGGTTGAGATACTGTTACATGCATTGTTTCCCTAGGTTAAATGCGTAATGTTGAGTTTTGCTTCATCAATCAGTCTCAGGTTTGCTTTATCTGTGTCACTTTGAAGTTTTCTTTAACCTTTTATAAGTAATCAATCTAGTTGGATGTACTTAATTTCTCAATATTTATATTTTGCCCCAATTAATTCCTCAAGTATGCTAAAATTTTCATTTCCTCGTGTGTCAACCATAGCTTTGATCAGGGATTTTTCAAAAAACAACCAAACAATCAAATAACAAAAAATGTTTTTTATTAACTCTTCAAATAACATAAATTTTCTAACTTTTCAAAAAATATAAACACTTTCTGAAAGATTATTTCAACGAAACAAACGAAGGCTTAAGTTGGTATTAAATTAAATGGAGTGAAACCAGTGATAGTACTCTTCACTTTTTCCAACGGTGCCTAGAAGTATAATCAATTTAATTCGAGTTAATATAGTATTAAATTTAAATTTGACTCGAAATTTGATATTTGAAATTCAATTTGAACTAGATTCAAGATAAAAATCGAGTTACTCAAGCTCATTCGATTAGATTCGATTAACATGTAAAAATAAACTCAATTTTTATATTTGACAAAAAATCGATTATTTATGCTTGAATTTGATTTCAAGTTTAAGATATTTTATTAATTAAAATAATTAAAATATATTAAAATATAACAACTCGATTAAGCTCATGAGCTACTCAAGTTAGGTATGAGAATACTCGAACTTGATTCGTTAAGTTGAGCTACTCGAACTCAATTCGATAATAATCAAATTGAATCCGAATTTTATTCGAATTGAACTCGAGTAGTTTACGAGTACTAATATATTATTTACACCCCCTAACAGTGACCAATTCTTTTTTTTTTTTTTAGGCCAAAGCTGTGACAAATTTTCTTTGCCAGCAATTCTTTCCCTTCCACAATTACATCTGTTGGAAATCAGTTGTAGTCTGACAATATCAGCAAAACATTTATCCTTTTACATCTTTAATTTGATTTTCAGATTCGAAGTCACCAGGTGATCCCAAGTTGATAGACGCATTTGGTAAGAGAGCCACTCGTTATCTGTCATCATGGCCTGCTTTCATGTTGGTTTCGGAAAACTTTGGCCTCAATTAGTTTAAAGAGATTAAGTGGTTCTTTATCATTTTGAATTTTTGTAAAATAAAGGTTTTTTTGCCTTTCAGCTGCAGAACTAAATGAAGAGGAGGTAGAAGATGCTCTTTTCAAAGAGGTTAGTTACTTTCTTTGTTCAAGTACTTTGCTTGCTGATCATATGTGAGCCATTTATGTATGGTTCTTGCGATTAGTTATTAATGAATTAGGAATGCTACATTCTCAACAAATAAAAATTATCCATTTGAGGGTGGCAAGCTCATTTTTAAAACCACATCGAGTTCATTTATGATCGGAAGGTCACGGATTCGAGTCTTAGAAATAGTCTCTCTAAAAAAATGGCAAAAAGAAGGCTGCATATTATGAACCCTCCCCTAACCCTCGTCAAGCGGAGAGCCTTGTGCACCAAGATTTGCCCTTTATAAAGTTCTGAATTTATGAGAAAAGTCAGTAATGTTTTGGCATCATGGTAGGTTAGCTCACTCTCAGTGCAGGCACTCTAGAGCTTCTCTTGCTGTAGAAGGCTTGCTTTATGTTAGAAATTCTTGCTCTTATAAATTATAATTGTTATAGGCCTGGTTAAGATATGTCTGGAATAGAGCCGAAGTACATGGTGTGGAAGAGGATATTGCAGAAGAACGGCTTCAGTTTTGGATCAGCCGTGCTGGGCAGACCCCTACTTCACACGATGATGTGGATGGTAAACCTACTTATAACGGTTCAGATCGAATCAAATTTAATTCGAATTTTTAAATAATACATAATATTATAAATTTTTAAAATTCAATTTAAAT